ATGAGTTAGTATTTATGAATCTCTTGGTTTCTGAATCTTTAGGTGTAACACTTTGTTCCATGTTCCATTTTCTTTTGACCCAGCCTTCAAAACCCATGACTTCTGGAGTAGAGGAAGAAATAGAATATAGTGGGTAAAAGTGTTCAGCAACAAGCTAACAACTGAAACTTCTTTGGAAAAAAAAAATCTATTGGCTTCCAGTAGACACTTTTCAAATTTCTTCTAACGTACAAAAATCCATTTTATGTCTATGCAGTCACAATGCACTGAATGTTCACCACGTGCTAGATGCAGTTATTTAATACATAAATTCCAAAAGCCTATTTATCCATTTCTACCTAGTATAAGCGAAATTTAGCTGAACAGATATGTCTGTTTTCCTGTACAGTTCTCCATTAAACATAGTTTTCCATCTGTATTCTTACAAAAGGGAATTATCAAGGGGTTGAAGGACTTGTTACCGTTTGTTTTCTGTGTGTTACTTGTTGTCAGAAACCCCCGACTCTGATCCTTTGCTTCAAGGCAACTGCGAGCTCCACTTACCTCCACCTGCCAGTCTCAGACTCACAACTATACTTGGATTTGTTCCTGCATAAAATAGATCCAGTTAAAAACTCACTGGCTGACAGGGAAGATTTCAGTTCTTCTCGGCACTGATGACCCATTCAGTCCGCTCTCGCTCCACCTGGAGCCTCGCTGCCTGTTTTCCCTGAGTGCAGTCACCCTGCCTTGCCAGACCTTGATCTATTCAATTCGTCTAAGCCTTGTTTTGCAGCCCCATCTAGACTCTTGTTGTAGTTGTAGCCTTACCCCGGTATCTCAGGCCTTCTCTGGGCATGGCCTATCCCTTTGGACCTCATCATTCAGCTTTAGTGAAAAAGATGCCCTTGCAAATATAATTGCAGATCCAATACTAGCACCTTTGTTGGATGCAATATTTATATTATTTATTATAATAAAATTATTGATTTTATTATAACTTTCCTTTTCTTTAAAATTATTGTACATTAGAAATGTGAATATGGTGACTCCAAATCCCCTACTTTCCCTGGCAGCCGCTACCCACCTCACAGCTGTCCTTTGCAGATTAG